AATTGTTTGAGCATGTTGAAAGATAAATAGCTTTTACGGGGGAAAATTTTATTATATAAAAAAAAATTAGATTTATATAACAGAAAATAATTTTTTTTGTTATCAATTCTTTGCTAAATTAAATGGTAATTTTTACTGGTACTTTATTTGTTTTATAAGTTTTTGCAAAAAAAGAAAGTTTACAAATTATTCACTAATTATTTAGAAATTATTTCTTTTGCAATTCTAAAAAAAAAATGTATTAATACAAAAAAAAAAATTTTATATTTGGTTCAAAGAAAAGTCTTTTGATGCGAGAAAAATCTGCAAATATTCAACATTTTTCATGGGTATAATCAATTACTGAATTTTTTATTTTCCACCTCGTGACAAAAACGTGTCTTCAGCTATAATTTACATTATCAGGTGTTTATAAATGTATATGATGATGATGTATAATACTTTAGTGTACGAACAGCTAAAGTACCTATATTGCCATATAGGCGTCGGAGGCTTGAGTTATTCATGGCGAAGCCGCAAACCGTCCACCACTCTGCAGTACGGCAAAAAAAAAAAGAAGGAAAAAAAAAGAAAGTGCACAGGGTGAGGGAAAGAGACAGCAGATAGAAAAGAGTGCGAGAGAGGGGTAGGGAGTAAAAAGGAAGAGGCCCCCGGAGGCAAAAGCGGTAAATCAAAGAGCCGAAAGCTCTTCCGACAGAGTCGGGATTTTCTTTGAATTTGAGCTTTTCTCGATAGTCCCAATGGCGTCAGTGAAGAATTTACCGCAGACCGCGATTTTAAAATCCAACACGCAAAGTTTTGCAATGTTTTTTTTTTCTGTTTCTCCTTTGCACCACAACAATAATAATAACACTTTTTGCAATATTCTTCGCCAAGTGTTTTATAACCTCTCTCTCTCTCTCACACACAAACGGGAAATTCTCAGTCCTCATTTGCATCGAGAGGAGAAATGTAAACGAGACAGTTCACTTCGATTTCCAATGGAATCAATTACGGAACACGTGACTTTATTTTGAATTACTGATTACATTACTCAGTACCTTCATATATATATATATATATTTATTCAACACGAATATTTTTCCTCTGCGAGTATACTTTAATTTAACACCGACGCGCAATTTTATTTACTGCGGATAATTAAATAAAATTTTTAGAAATTTATTCTCTACTTTATGGTAATTGGTATAATTTCCAGAAATATGTACAATATTTATGATCAGTTAATTTTTGCAGTAATTTATGAATTTGTTTTTTAAAACTCGATAATTGAAAAGGTCTAGATTAAAAGAAAAATTATGTTTTTAAACAATTTGAAAATTGCAATTAATAGTAATAAATTATTTTATATAAATCATAACGGACGTTTTTGTATAGGAAATATAAATTTTCTTTGTCCTTTAGGAACAAATATTATATTTTTTTTTTTTTTTTGAAAATATATCAAAAGATTCAATCAAAGTAAAGAGTCTTATCAATTTTAAAAAAATTTTTCAAAGACACATTTTTGTCGACCATTAATTAAATGGATTATATAATTTTATCATGGCAAAGAAGAGACTTTTTCGAACTAAAAGGAACATTTTTTAATTATATAACAACGTAAAGAATCTTCTTCAATGTCAATAGAAAAAAAAGAGAGATAATTTTCATATAATTTTTTTTTCACATTATTTTCAAAAAAAAAAAAGTGATAAATGAAATTTAGTTAGAAAATAGAAAATCAGTAATTGAATTTTATTGGAAAATATATATATATATTTTTTAAAGTGGAAAAATCAGAAAAAAAATTGCCTCCTCCAATTATCGATTTAATAACTTGAGAAATGATGATCTTATTAAATTTTTGAACCAATTATATTTATTTTTAAATTTTGTACTTTGAAAATTTTGATCTAATCTTAAGTATCAAAGAAAATTATTTTGCAAGTAGTGAATTTTAATTTTAAATATTTTTGATTTAAATATAATTTTTAATACAAAAAACGGTTTTTACAGAAACCAAATTTTTTATTACTTAAAAAAATAGTAATTTATAATAAAATAAGTTTTAAATGATTTAGTTGAAAATTCATCGCTCACTATTTTACTGCATTAAATTTACATCATTTATTTTTGATAGGGCAGTATCGCAAGTTCAAAATAAAATAATAAAAAAAAATCATGTATCGTGATGGAATATTCATATATACGTGGATGATAGCTGGTATAGGGAAATCAGTAGTTAAGGTCATTATTGAGTCAGCCACGATCCATTATATGCAAATAAGTCAACGATCTCTCTTCGCGTTTAACCGCCTCTCTCTCTCTCTCTATATATATATAAACCACTTATATACGTTTCCAACTCCTTTACACAACGTTCATCTCGCTCATTCTCCAGCTAGGAATTCTAAGACCTCAAAGCACGAGGCTCGTCTTAATTACTGTTGTCTCGAGTCAATCTCAATGGTAATTAACGGGCGCGCGCGCGTCAACCTCGAGTGATATTGTCTATGAATTTATCCCGCCTCTACCCCTCCCCCCCACTCTATCCACTTTTCATTCGCAACTGTCTACTCGCTTCTCATCTACTTTGATTCTCGATGTTGTTTCGCCCAGCTACTAAAGTCTCGAGAACCCTTTAATAAGTGTTCAAAAGTGACATTGTGAGAGATAGAGAGAGGGAGAGAGAGTAAAGGAGAATTACATTAGAAACAGGAGAGAAAGAGAGGAAGAGAATAAATGTTAAAAGTACCAACTCTTGAGAGAAAAGAGGGTCTCGAATAATGAAGAAGAAACACAAGCATCTGTCGATATCAAACTCTTGGTTATAAAAAAAAAACTTTCTGGATAAATTATCCATTACACATTGTTTTCGAGCATCGCACGTATTTCTTCAACCCTCGTAGTTACTATCCGACATAGTAAATAATGGCTGCCACCTTAGAGAATTTTTCTAGATTCAAGATGGCAATTTTGGTCTTTGTAAAAAATATATCACCTATATACGTTTAGGAGAAGAGATTTTTTTTTCCAAACAACTTATTCGGAAAATATAATGCAAAATAAATTTTATATTCCAAAAAAAACTATGAACGATAAAAATATTTCTATTCTATTTTTTTATTTTTCTAAGTTTTACATATAAGTAATATTATTGATTTTAATTTATAAATTAAAAAATTTTTTGGGTCTGACTATAACTGTATTTTACTACTGATATGATAATTACTAGAATTTCAAGAAGTAACGTCTAACTGAAACTGTCTTCTACTAATAATTTAGTAATTAATGAATTCGAAGTATTTTAGTCTAACTAAAATGGTTTTTACTACTAATTTTCAAAGCAAAACAAATTGGAAACATCCAAGTCTCGACTAAAACTGTATTTTACTACTGATTTGGAAATAAGTAAGGTACAGTCTGACAGAAACTGTATTTTACTACTAAAAAGTCTGACTATAACTGTTTTGTACTACTAATATGAGTAATAGTAGAAATTAGAAATGTAATGTCTGACCAAACTAGTTTTTTACTACTGATTTTCAAAATTAAAAAAATTTTAAAAACACAAATCTGACTGAAAATTTCTTCTACTACTGATATGAAAATTGGCAGTAATTTGTGAGGTATTGTCTGACATAAACTGCCTTCTACTACTAATTTAAAAAATAGAAGCATTCGAAGTATTTGTCTGACTATAACTGTCATGTACTACTGATATGAGAATTATTAAAATTTAAAAATGTCATGTCTGACTAAAATCTCTTTTACTACTGATTTTGAAATTTAAAAAAAATTGTGAGTCTAACAAAAATTGGGGTTAAAACATGATTAATACTAAAATAAAAAAAATTATGTCTTACGAAAACTGTCTTCTACTACTGATTTAAAAATTATAAAATAAGGAGTATGTCCGACTAAAATCTCTTATACTACTAATTTTAAAATTAAAAGAATTTGGTGAGTCTGACTAAAATTGGGCTTTACTACTAACATAATTATTACTAAAAATTAAAAAAAGTTATGTCTGACCGAAACTGTCTTCTACTACTGATTTTAAAAATTATAGAATAAGAAGTATGGCAGTCTTACTAAAACTACATTTTACTACTGAAAATTTTATTTCTTGAAAATTAATAATAAATTGAATGTTTCGGCCGAAAAGGCTTTTTAAAATTATTTATTGAAAGATTATTTTAAATTATGTCAGACCAAATCTTTTAAAAAAATTTATTTTCTTCATTTTCAAAGTTCTATATACGCTCTCTATTTATTTCTAATTTACTATCTATCAGTGCTTCTAATTCATTTTAAGAGAAAATCCAACATAAATCGTTATGGTCAATATTAAGAAATAAAAACAAAACAAAAACCCATTTTTTACAGAAAAAATAGGGGGGAAAAAAAAGCAAAATTTGTTGTAAATTATATGCAGTAGGCTATGAATCTTGTTCTTTCAACAATTCATAAAGAGTTTCGACGAAAAAGCGGAGTAAAATACTCCCAAAGGAAATTAAATGGGCGATTGTGCACTATTCTACAATTCCACAATTTAAAAAAAAAAAAAAAAAAAGTAAATCATAACACCTGCTCTTTTTTGCCTGATAATTTTAAAAACAATTTTTAATGTCCTAATTTTTGTAGCGTACTCTCTAAATCTGAATTAGTAAAAGGTTTACTAATTTGAATTAGTGACTCACTTTTTGCTTCTGAATTAGTTAAATTTTACTAATTGTTAGTAAAAGTTACTAATAATTAGTAAACATTTTACTAATTCAGAAGCAAAAAGTGAGTCACTAATTCAAATTAGTAAACATTTTTACTAATTCAGAGTTAGAGAGTAGAAAAAAATTTATTATTATTCATTTAAAAATAAAAAATAATAATAATTTTAAAACTTAAACATAAAAAAATTAGTAGGTCCAAATAAATATTTATTTGATAATGGCCAAGTAACCGATTTTTGGAACCAAATAATTTTTTTTTTTCCTGTGATAGAAGAGAAAAACACTTACCTTTTTCTATTGAGGCAAAAATGTTGTGCAGTGGAATCTGAAAAAATAGAAGAAAAAAAATTGAATTAGAAGAAAAAATATTTAGAAAAAGAAGTTTAATTTTTCTTTATAATATAAAAATAGGAGAATATATATTTTCCATGTAGTTGAATCATAATGAATAATACACGAGGGGGAAAATGGTTCATAAGTACACAGTTAGATATTTAACAAAACAACGTTTGCGAATTCGCAATGGGAACAGTGGCGCAACCAAGGGAAATAGGGATTGTATTGGCCGCAAGCGAAGCCATATACGGTCGCGACTAATCAAACCAGGAGCTGTAATATTTTATAATATCGGAGTTATCGGAAAACGCTACGAGACGTATATATACCTTGGGCGTGATGTGGTGATTAAGCGCGAAACGGTCGACCGTAAAACAGAGTTAGGACGTTTTGAGGGGGTTAACGGAGTGTAGAGGGGAAAATCAAAAGGAAAAGAAAGCCATATCACATATTGTTTCAGAGATGTACTATTGGGGATATCTAATATACCTAGAGAGAGAGAGAGAAAAAAAAAAATTTTTTTCCAACTATAATAAATATTGAAACAAAAAGGAGAAAAAAAAATATATAGAAATTTATTTTACCAGCACATATATAAAACCAAAGTTTATTTTTTAATAAACTTTTTCCGCGTATTATTATTTTTCTAAACTTCTTTATTTAATCGATTATGTGAGAAAAATGAGGAAAAATATTTCAATATTCTGTGGAGGTACTTTATTATCAATTCGATTCATTTACCACTTTTGATTCATTGTGAATTTTTGCATACGAGTTGAAATTAAAGAGAAAAATATTTTTCTCGGGATACGATTATAGAGCGAATATATTTTCAAGAGACATTATTATGTTTAAATTATTTTTTAAATCACATTTGAAAAAATAGTTTTTTAAAAAAGCAAATATTAAAATTGAAAATTCAATTTTTTTTTTAAGTCGAATAATATAAAACTGACAGATGATTTCAAATATCTAGAATTTCAAAGTAAAAAGTATGAGATTACATTTAGTTTCCTTTGATTTTTGTCAAAGGAATTTTTATCCGTTGATAAAAGCCGATAACTGCAAATAATATTCAAACAATTGAAAAATCAACTATTACAAAATTAAATCTTGTTTCTTTATTTTTACCTTCAAGTGAAAACATTGGAAAAAAATTTTATTTTATAATAAATTGATAATTTTTTTTCCTAATAATTAATTACATATATTATTTTATTATTATTAAAAATAAATCCTATTTGGATTTTTATTTGCAGAAAAAAATTGATTGAAATTTGTTCACACTGGTTTGTATAAAAAAAAAAAAAAAAAAGAAATATTATTGAAAGTTTGACAAATTTTTGCGGCCCTAATAAAAATCATGAGAAATTCACCACTTTTCCTGAATTCGATATATGTGCGACATCGAAATATCGGAATCCTCGACATTTCGGATTCTCAACGTCGTTCTACATGGAACAGCGCGACTGTGCGTGATCACCAAAATCCCCCGGGTTTAGATACATTTCATGATATTACATCTAATCCACTCTCAAGAAACATGACCCAGATACCATTTTGCGTTTATCGATGTTAAACACTTTACCTTGACCTACTAGAGAAATATCGAAATTTTTCAAAAAAAAAAGAAAATATTATATCGCAATAGTTATTTTTTTTTATTTGTTACAATTTGATTGTAAACAAAATAAAACAATCAGATTTTAATTAAATTTTGTCATTATTAGTTGATTATTGAATTTAACTTAATAAATAAAAATAAATAATTTATATTGATTTATCAAATAAAGATAAATTAATAATAATTACTTTCTTTTCATATTAAAAAAAAAATGTTGACTCTGATATTGAATCAGAAACTAATATTTACACGTTCAACCCACATAAATATGACTTGAATAAGCAACGATAAATCATAAATCAACGTCATGCGTAAATAAAACTTAATCCAACGCTATAAAGTTATTAAAAGTTATTTTCTATCTTTGATGAAAAATTTAATCAATTATTATCAACAGAAGCCAGTAATGAAGAGAATTAGGAAAAAAAAATTCTCATTATTACAAACCTTTTATAATCTAAGTTGCCTGACATTAATTTATCTAATATCTAATTTTTTACATTCTTCGTTTTTATGACATAGGTGTGGAAAATAGTGATACAATATTTAACAATTCTAATCAATTTTTTACTTTAAAAAATATTTTTATGCTTTTTTCTTTAGAAATAAATAAATTATTTATTATTAAAAAACAAAAGAAAATTTTCAATTGAATTTTCATAAAAAAATTTTTTGCACTTGTTCAACAACATGTCACGTGTATATAAAAGCTCAGCTGTTGGATGCGTTGAGTCATTTCTATATAACGTTGACGGACATAAAACATTAACGTTCGATGCTTTTGTGACTATATGCAATGGTGACTTCAACGTTAGCTGTTTCGTTTAATTACTGATTCTAAAACCGTCCAGGTGTAACAGTCGCATGGCCACCGAGTGTTATCAGGATTTTAACAGACTTTTTTTTTCAAACACCATGTTGCAGGACTGTTATTGCACACTCTCTTGGGCAACTTTACCCTCGTTGAAATTACTACTTAGGAACCCAATTTTAACACACAGCGTACTATCCAACATATCTGATTTTTTAAAATTACAAATTATTCAACATTTTCATTTATGTATATAATTAGAATTTTTTTTTTTTTTTAATTGATCCTTCAAACAATATTCATAACAGACTATTATAAATTTTTTTATTAAAAAATCTTAATTCTGATTTTTAATGTCGAATTTAAAAACAAATTTTTTTTAATAAATTACAACTCAATTTATTATTATTATTATAATAGTAGAGAAGGCTTTTTTTTAATAATAATTATTTTTATAATCAAAATAACAATTAATTGTAACAATTGTTTTTACAATATAATAAAATTGAATTTAAAGCTAAATGAATTTACAAGAGAACAAGAACTTTCATTGAATTCTGTAAAATCGAATTTCTCAGATAAATTCAATACAAATTCGTCTTTATAAGCATTGACATTGCAGAGCGTTTCTAAATTGAGAACTCGATGCTCGTTAAAGTCGACAACAAAATTGCTGATTTGTATTTCACTAATGACGTCCTAGTTCCCTAATCTTTTGCTTGAGCGCAATTCAGAGAAACTTCAGTCTGATGTTTTGCTAAATATCTTTTCATTCTCTTTCACATTGACTGAGAAAAACCGGAAAAGGGCGAATAACAACTTGAAAATTGCAATTTAACGTAATTTATTTTTAATCAGCTCAAACATATATCTTTTTCTCTCTGATCGTTGAAAAAAACTTTTTTAATATCTTCCTCAGTAAAAAAAAATGAAAGAAAAGAAAAAAATTGCATTTTTAAAAGGCAATTCGTCTTTTTTTTTTTTATTTTCTTCCAAATTATTGCGTATCCAGAAAAGTTGCAGAGCTTTTGAAAGCTTTACGACTTGAGCAATGTAATTTTTCGACGCCTCGACTTTTTCTTGTACGAGAGAAAGAGAGAACAAAGTTTTTCAACGTCTAATCTTTTTCTTTTTTTTTTGCCTTCTGTCGCGCGTGAAGGAATGCAAATAGTGAAGTGAACTTGACTGAAGTTCCAATATATACTACTGGCAGTGCGAGGAAACCTTTGGGCAAAAAGGTACTCTTGAGGTTACAAAACTTGGGGCCAAGTCTTGGCTCGACTACTATCGGATTGATTTTAATATCAACTTTATTCTTCAAAAACTCAACTCCACTGCTCTACATTTTCAAGAGTTATTTCGAGTCCTTTCTAAACTTTGCTCTATTTAATCTTATCAGGCAAATCTTGATTTTGTAAAATTCTAAACTTATTATTTTTTTTTTTTTTTGAAAAAAATAGACAAATTTTTTTGAGAAATTATAAAAGGCAAATAAACCTCAACAGAGAACGGAAACTTTTGATTGGTCGGAAGGGACTCTGACATGGTAATGTTGCAAAGCGATTTTGGTTGTGGGGATAGTTAATTCCGGAAGTCGGTCGTCACGCGAAATGTGCTCACTTTCCTGCTTTCCGAAAGGCAACCCACCTTACTTCTTGCTCCCGCTCTCTTTTATACCATTTTACACATTTTCGTGTGTGTGTGTGTGGCAATTAGCAAGATTGTGGTTGGAATCACATGTAAAATAACAATTATTATTATGCGGGCAATAAAACTGACTGGTTCATGGCTATTAACACAAGCTGCTACTACCCATTTTCTGCACTTCAAAAATAGTCTTTTCCTGTTTTCCCATTCAATGTTGCCCACAAAAAAAAAAAAAAAAAAAAAAAAAAAACTCTCTCATTCCTTTTCGACACTACTCATAGATGTAAACTTTCCTAATTGAACATGTATATCTAAACAAGCAATATGGCCTCTTTAATATACAAAAGGCAAATTTAATTAAATCGCAAATGTTTTCTCCAAGATAATAATTATTAGAAATTATATAGAGGTTATACAGGTTAATTATACAGGTTTCTGTAGAAAATTATTTTATTTACATCTAAAGAAACTACGTGGAAACATTTTTTTCCGGTCGATTTTTTGTCCGAAATAAATAAATGAAAATCAAATAAAGATTATTTTCCAGGGGGTCGATTACGTAACTTTCCCACATCCCACTTCCCATCTTTCATATCCCACTTCCCATATTTCACACTCCACTTCCCATATTTCACATCTCACTTCCCATATTTCACATCCCACTTCCCATATTTCACATCCCACTTCTCACTTCCCATATTTCATATCCCACTTCCCATATTTTACATACCACATCCCACTTCCCATATTTCACATTCCACATCTCACTTCCCACATTTCACATCCCACTTCTCACATTTCACTTTTCACACTTCACATCTCACATTGTACATAACACTTTTCTTATCACGCTTTCCACCTTTTATATCCCACTTCCCACTTCTCAAATCTCTCCCATTTCCCACAA